GTTGGTGAGAGTCTGCCCAATCTTTCACATCACGTGCACTAGATCGACGTAACAACAAATGTTGGGAGGAAAACTGAAATGGCTCCTAGTACCATGCAGCCGGGTCAATCGGAAGGAATTATTTCACTTTTCCTCATTTCTAGTGTGAGGGTTGCCTGTCTAGAGTCATCATTAGACCGTGAGCTCTATGGCCCAGAATAAAATGGGAATTTGTAAACATCCTTTGAAAAGCTGCATACATTGATAGAGCCATGAAACCATTTATAATAATAGTTGCCCATTGGGAAATTACAAGGACATGGTTGATATAAAAATGTTATGGGACACACACACACCTACAGAATGCAGGATGTGTGATCTCAGTTGTGTGATATTTTCCTCTGTTTAGTAGCAGCCTGGAATGAGGAGCAGTGAATTCCTACACTGGGTGAGGAATTGCTGCCCTGCCCAGCACACAGATCGTCAGCTCAGTGGGTCAGGATCTTCCACCCAGGTCAGACGGTGTTGTGTGTATAGCTAATAACATTCTGCATGCAAACTGATTATATTTACACATTGCAGTGGGTTCATTGCCTATCAGGTCTTGTGTATAAAGGTGTCCTTTATAGGAACTGTCAGTGTTGCCTTGCACTGCACTTGAAGATGACGGTTGGCAGTCTTGCCTATCTCAGGTCAGGCATTTCACAGTGCAGCAACTAGAAGACTCCAGGTGACCTCTGACCCCTGACCGTTAAGACAGTAAAGTTAAATGAAGGGGGCAAATATCAATCTCTCCTTGTTTAGCTTCAACAGCTACAGTATAATAATTTAACACTAAAATATGATGGGTTCTCTTCATTTCTTAAGGTAAAATGGGTTGTGGTAACTCTTTAAGTAAAATGGGTTGTCAATGCACCAAAACGGACAGGAAAACAGAAATGTAGCATTTATCCACTCGGGCTACAGGCGGCCAGTGCACTACAATGTAATTTCTGTTATTGCTTGATAAATTGGTACATTGCTGTGGCCATTTCATTACAATTAATTTTATACAAAATGGTTTATTATGTAAAATGTCATCTGCAGTGTCTTTATTTTATATGGGTAGCGGGGTAACTCGGTCTTGAACTCAGTCAAGACATTTCAAAGCCACTTCTTTAGTTCTAAAGTGCATCAGAAATATACCCTTGACACTCATTAGAACTGAAGTGGCTTGGAGCAGCTATGAAATGTCTTTAACATTACAGAACAAGTCCAGATGAATGTGACCAACTACTACTAGCTACACCATGACCTGGATGAATGTGACCAACTACTACTAACTACACCATGACCTGGATGAATGAGACCAACTACTACTAGCTACACCATGACCTGGATGAATGAGACCAACTACTACTAGCTATACCATGACCTGGATGAATGAGACCAACTACTACTACCTACACCATGACCTGGATGAATGAGACCAACTACTACTAGCTACACCATGACCTGGATGAATGAGACCAACTACTACTAGCTACACCATGACCTGGATGAATGAGACCAACTACTACTCCCTACACCATGACCTGGATGAATGAGACCAACTACTACTACCTACACCATGACCTGGATGAATGAGACCAACTACTACTAACTACACCTGGATGAATGAGAACCTTCACAGACAAGCCATACGAAGGTAAGTATCCAGTGGGAGAGTCTACTTTTTATGGAGTTGTGAAGCTACAGTCAATTTTTTATTTGGTTTGCTTTCATTTATCCACCATAGGTTGTCGGAGGATTGAGCACAGTGAATACATATCACCGAACCTCATTGGTTCGCATGGAACCCTCTGGTTCTGTGTAGTCCTAAAACAGAATACCAGTAAAAAGCAGGAAGCACATGTTGTAGTCAGAGTATACAATCTTCTTTAGATCTACCAACTATGTAGGGCAAGGGCCTACCTGACTGCATACAGATTGAATGGATAGTTTAGGTAGGTCCTCACTGTACAAAATTTAGGTAGGTTCTCACAGTACCTAGTTTAGGTAGGTCCTTAATATACATTTTGTAGGTAGGTCCTCAAAGGACATAGTTCAGGTAGGTCCTCATAGTATAAAGTTTAGGTAGGTATTCATTATACATCGTTTAGGTAGGTCCTTAATATACATTTTGTAGGTAGGTCCTCAAAGGACATAGTTCAGGTAGGTCCTCATAGTATAAAGTTTAGGTAGGTATTCATTATACATAGTTTAGGTAGGTCCTCATAGTACATAGTTTAGGTAGGTCCTCAATGTACATAGTTTAGATAGGGCCTGATTTTACATAGTTTAGGTAGGTCCTCAATGTATATAGTTTAGGTATAGGGCCGCTTAGGACATAGTTTAGGTAGGTCCTCATAGTATAAAGTTTAGATCGATCCTCATAGTACATAGTTTAGGTAGGGCCTGATTGTACATAGTTCAGGTAGGCCCTCATAGTATAAAGTTTAGGTAGGTCCTCGTAGTACATAAGTTAGGTAGGTTCTCATAGTACATAGTTTAGGTAAGTCGCCATAGTACATAATTTAGCCCTCATAGTTCATAAGTTAGGTAGGTCTTCACAGTACATGGGTTTAGGTAAGTCCTCATAGTACATAGTTTAGGTAGGTTCTTATACTACATAGTTTTGGTAAAACTAAAGTTGATCATACAGAGATTGTAACACGATGACCCTTAAAATGGAGATCTGCTGAAATCACTACATCACCCTAACTAAGCAAATAACCCCTTTCTTGCAGAAGGGGAGCAGTCAATATGCAGTCCTCATATATCACTGGCCCCTCGCTTTTAGACTGTAAGCCCTCAGGGACAGGGCCCTCCTTACCATCTTGTCTTGAATTGTATTGTGATTGTAATGTCTTCCTTATATTGTAAAGCGCTGCGCAAACTGCTGGCGCTATATAACTCCTGTATAATAATAATAATAATATAGAGTTAACCACCCAACACTCAGCAAAATGACATCCCTAAAAATAGGCCACAATATCACGCTAAAGTGTTACCCAGCACAAACAGGACTCACACTGCGTCATGGCATTACTTTTATCTTGGGTAAAGCTGAACTCCAGGCACACAAACTTTCACTGAAATATATTCCTCAATAGCCACAAAGCATATGAGTCAATTTTGTGTGAACCAAATGCCTTTACAAACCCAGAAATGTGGACGTAGTCGTGACATCATTACTGTGCTGTACACAGAGAGCAGAGGGAGGGACCCAGCAGGCTCCACCCACTATAGAAAACTACAGAAGGGGGCGGAGACAAGACCAGTCTCCCTGCACAAGCAAAGAGAGCAGCAGGGAGCGGTCTTTATTACAGGAGGGGGCGGAGACAAGACCAGTCTCCCTGCACAAGCAAAGAGAGCAGCAGGGAGCGGTCTTTATTACAGGAGGGGGCGGAGACAAGACCAGTCTCCCTGCACAAGCAAAGAGAGCAGCAGGGAGCGGTCTTTATTACAGGAGGGGGCGGAGACAAGACCAGTCACTCTGCACAAGGAGAGAGATCAGCAGTGAGCGGTCTTTATTCCAGGAGGGGGCGGAAACAAGACCACTCACCCAGCACAAGGAGAGAGAGCAGCAGTGACCGGTCTTTATTACAGGAGGGGGCGGAGACAAGACCAGTCCCCCTGCACAAGGAGAGAGCAGCAGTGACCGGTCTTGATTACAGGAGGGGGCAGAGACAAGACCAGTCACCCTGCACAAGGAGAGAGAGAGCAGCAGTGACCGGTCTTGATTACAGGAAGCTCCAAGTCTCACACTGGATCACTGCACAAATCTGGAAGAAATACACACAGCTCACCAAGATTTAAGGAGGAATACACATGACTCTTGTATTAAGATAGTTGCTGACCCCCAAGTTCAGCTTTAACATTTCTCAGCAATGGCAGCATTAGGACATGAGCTAACATGCAAATCTCTCCATTGTGTGAATGGTATATTTCTTTCATGGCTCCATTATTCCTGAGGGTGAGGTCCGAGCCCCTCCGTACATCAGGGTCAGATCAACCATCCCATGTACAGGAAAATGCATATATTGATATAATGGCAAATCGCGCTCCCAGCAGCATCACTTTACTGCAACCCAGAAAAGTGAACGCACTAATATGCAAATGGAAGTATTGGAAGCTATAACTTGTCTAATGTATCCATTTCTTGCATTGCAATGATTGCAGGATACACAACGCATCACTTCTGTAAGAGAAACACATCCAGCAATAATTCTGCGCATGCAGCTCCCTTCCTGCTCTCATTGACTTTCCCAAAGCTCTGTGGCATGTATTGACAAACTTCTGAACATGTCCCCATGCCCTGACACACGTGTCTGCCTCTCACATCTCTCTCCCTTGTCTTCACCGCTCCGGACACAATGAACATCTTTCTATTAATGAGTTGCTACATGTAATCTGCTAAAGGATAAGCAGTACACACAATCCCCTGACCCCAATCAATGGTGAATGATTATATACAGCAAGCAACAACTAAAAGTGCACATGACCCTCCTGTATACATCACCCATGTACCACACATACTGAGAAACCATCAACATCATTCACCTTTGAATATAGATCACAATTATAGCTATTGATGAACTACAAGTCTCAGAATACCCTACTGGAGTTGCAATCCCCTGGCAGCTGAAGGGTTTTGAATTTCCAAGGAGTCATGCCGCAGAGGTAGTCACCAAAAATATGCAAGTGAATCTTTAGGATGATCAGCACAGACACAGTCATGCTAACATAGATATGTACACACATACTACGCAGAAGGACGCATACACACACACCTGGATATATATATATACCTACACGATGGCCAGGCCCAGCTCAGTGTTACGCAGTCACAAGATGCAGAGTCACATTTCCTCCTCCCTCCCCATGTTGCCCATATACACACCCCAAACTGTTCTCTTGCACTTCCCCATTTACCCTGACCACCCACCCACCCACCCCTGCGCCTGTCAGCCACCCATCCCCTCCCACCGTGGCGTTACCGTAGGTTCCCGTGCAGCACAGACACTGTCAGCATCATCTGCTGCTCCTGGCTCCCGTAGCTATGGCAACAGCTAATCCTCAGCATCACCAGGGAGATGGCCGGTCCCCTCCCTGCCTGCAGAGCATCAGCGGCCCCTCCCTGCAGCAACACATCTCCATCCCTTCCTCCCAGCCAGCAGACCAGTTTTATTTCTACACAGCGACGATTGTTTCACCTTGCTGCTGACAGTCACCCTCTCCGGGCTGTACGTTATCCTCTCAGAAGAGGGGGGCAGATATAGTCCCAGATTAAAATAATCGCTTAGAGTACCAATCAGCTGCAAATCTGGTGCTGGCAGCGTATCGCATCCCCTCTCTCCCAATCTAATTGCAGGGCACGATGAGATGACCTTTCATCCCAGTAAATCTTTTTAATGGTGGCGTACCAACCCCCCCTCCCCACCACCAGCGCTGCGCGGCATGACAGTGTGCATGAAGATTAAAATGAATGTAAACAGGTAAATATTATCGTTCCAGTGACTCACAGTCGCCCACGTCCACGTAGATATTAGGCTTCCCAAAATAAATGGCTCTAAATGATAGATTAGGATGCAGCTGCTAAACACCAGGCGACGACGCGTTGTATACGATACTGAACGACCACGGCGAGAGGAAAATTGTAGACGGAATCATTCCCATTGGGACACAATGTCTAAACCGGATCAGTCTCATATTTACTAAACAGGAATAGCAAATAATATTTTTTGCACACATTTTAATTCTGCTTCTTTAACTCCGATAGTCTCAGTTAGGACAGACAATGTAGAACGGAAGAACCAATAGCAATTTTACAAAAATTTGATTTAAAAGTGAACTTAAAGCGGACCTGCACTCAAAAAGATACCCTCGCACCTGCCTCCTCCACCCCCCTCTCGTAAAATTGCAGATTTTCTTTTAATGCAATCACTTCTTGAATTTTCGCCTAGGCCACCCACCTACCTACCTGCTGCCTCCTAGGATTTCTATGTCACACATCCCAGGAAGCAGTTTGCACTCTGCCAGAGACCTGCGTTGCGTACGCACATGTGTAGAATCCATGCCGGTGCAGATCAGGGATGTGCGGTCAGGGGGGGCAGGTGAGGCGGAGCTAGAATTATGGAGGAAAAAGCTGTCCGCTTCAAGTCTGTAGCTGACAGCTTTTTCTCCATTCAGATCGGCAACTAACAGGTTGCACAGCAATCCTCCCCGCTGTGTAACCTGTCATGGACGGAGTGCTGCATGTTAATTACATGCGGCGCTTCATCCGACTTTTGAAAGGTAGTTGTTAGGTTACACGGGGCGGGACGTGCTGGGGGTGAGGCTGGGGAATGCTTCACCCAGAACAAGAGGTACCGCACGTCACTGGTGCAGATACACCAACAGTCTATCCCAGGTCCCATAGACCAGTCATACACTCCAGCAATGGCTGCTTGGCATTTCTCAAGGAAGGTTCCCGATGTTGACAATAGTGGACCATGCCTGTGTGTAAAAGTAGCCACTTTTAGTCTCTGTTGAAAACCCATGTGACCGGGTGACAACGCAGGAGAACATCTGAGAGACAAGGCGTTGTCACCTTATAGTGCTGGAACAAGGACCTTCATAGGTGACAGGGTGACAATGCAGGAGAACATCTGGGAGACAAGGCATTGTCACCCTATAGTGCTGGAACAAGGACCTTCAAGGCGTTGTCACCCGATAGTGCTGGAACAAGGACCTTCATAGGTGACAGGGTGACAATGCAGGAGAACATCTGGGAGACGAGGCGTTGCCACCCTATAGTGCTGGAACAAGGACCTTCATAGGTGACAGGGTGACAACGTAGGATAACATCTGGGAGTCAAGGCGATGTCACCCTATAGTGCTGGAACAAGGACCTGCATGACAAGGATCATCAGGTATTCTTTTAAAGCTGAACTCCGGTATCCTTGCAGTGGGTCCCACCTATACTGCAAGGGTTAAAACAGAACCGAAGCCAGAACTTTTTTTTTTCATTTTGGATCGAGTAAGGGAGAGTTATAAACCCTGTTTTTTGCTTTCTGTGCCCTTCACTTCCTGTTTTGCCACAACAAAAAAGTGAGAGGAAATCCCTCCAAAGAGAGAGGAGTCTTGGTGGTCAGCAGAACTAGTGTCCCCATTGGAAGATTTCCTATCTATCCCTACTCTGATGGCAACCCAAAATGTTGCATTTTCTTTCACTTTCAGTGATAACGGTCTCCATGACCAGGAGAGGGGGACACAGACAGCAATAAAAACCTGACCGGGGCTCTAATTCCTCTCCACTCACAAAAAATAAAGATTTGGCTTCAGTTGCACTTTAAATGTTGGTAAGCCTAGGGGGGTCGAGGAATAAGGAGTGATACTTACCTTATTCCTCACACGGGAAGATACAACTAAGACACCAAATACAAATACATTACAAGATCCATAATAATAATACACATAAGACCTCTTAGGAAATATATCTGTCATATTTGTTATCTAACAAATCATCAGTTTTTTATGCTAATATAAATGTTGATTTATGGATTGGGAAACCTTGTCATATGGAAATGGTATATCCGGGATGTAGTGGCATAAAGGGGGTTTTCACTGGGCATTGTAAAACACTCCAGCACACCTGCAACACACAACTTAGATCTTGTAATTGGTTGTGGCAGCTCTGCGTCATACGTCCGTACACGAGTACGAGTACAAGAAAGAAATAGCTACTGTAATGTAAACTGTGATACATTCCTGTCTGGGTGTGGTAGCGAGTGATACAGACATTTTTTTAAAGGTCAGAATCACAGTGCGTATTTTTTTAAACACATGGTAGCAGCTGCCATGTCTACGTAAAGGGTTAACGGCTCAGTTGACCTGCCACGGTGAAAATTATTCTCAAGGTGGCCATACAGGGTTGTACAGGGATTAAAAAAACGTACAATCTGCCTATCTTGGACAGGCAGATCGCACTCTCGATCATCGCAAGCCCGCCTCCGATGACCGCAATGCTGAACGGGCAGTGTGCGCGTGCGCACACCGGCCCGTTCGGCATTTGTCTTCCGAGCACCGTTCTAACCAGCCGAGAATCGTACGATTCCCGGTGGGTTTTCTAGCATGCTGGTTCGACAGAAGACGTGCGACCGTACAGTAGAAACGGTTGCACGTCTCCGTTCACACTGCTCGATTATCGTACGAAAAACCGATCGCATACGATTATCGTACGAAAAACCGATCGCATACGATTATCGTGCAGTGTATGGGCACCTTTAGTCTGTGTCCGATAGCCACAACAAAAAAGTGAGAGGAAATCCCTCCAAAGAGAGAGAAATCCCTGGTGGTCAGCAGGGTCATCAGTAGCGTCCCCAGTTGAAGATTTCCAATCTATTCCTGTTCTGATGACAACCCTAAATTTGGGATTTTCTTTCGCTTTCACTTTCATTGTAAGGGATTGTGAAACCTTGTCATATGGAAATATTATACCCAGGATGTACTGGCATTAGGGGTGTATACCAAGAACTACTCCAAAATGGCGACGTGCCGGTGGCCGATATGGCCGCTGCTCGTTCTGCGGTTTCAGTGTGCAGTTTCAGATTCGGAGGCTCATTGCTTTCGAATCCGAAACAACATATAAATTAATTTCCTTTGACGAAACGAATGAAAACCTTTTTCGTTTTCATTCGTTTTGTCTGGAAACAAATGTTTTTGTTGTGCACATGTGTAGTAAGGAGGGCCCTGCCTGTGAAGGTTTACAATCTGAAAGGGAGGGGCAAGTGATACATGAGGAGGCATAGCCCAAAATTTCAGGGAATTTGGGATTGTTCTAGATAACCAGTCAGGTTAATCAAAGTAGCCTTAAAAATCCCCTCTATGAAGTACTGCGAAACGAAACTCCGAATCCAAAAGCGCACATTTCAGAAAACGCAGTGGCCATATTGGGCACCAGCACATTCTGTGCATGCGCGCTGCCATCTTGGTGGCAGTCCATGAACCCATCTCACTCCTGACCTCTTTTTTCCTATAGATTCAAGCGAGTGCAGCGGTGATCAACGGATGGCAGCCGTTATCATGCACGAAGAGAAGTACGGACACAGGCACTCCAGATGCAGTACAAATATGTCTATTTATTGCCGAAAATGCAGCATAATCACACTCAGTGTAACGTTTCGGGGTCTCGCAGGATCCCCTTCCTCAGGCAGAACATGTGATAAAAGTGCAAGTGAAACACACATGTAAATACAGAACAATACATGGTAACTAATCCCTGAGCTCGATTGAACCCTGTGACGTCATATCCCTGCCATCTTGGTGGCGGGCGCATGGCGTCACATGACGCTGGCGTCGGGCGATGTCATACACATGTATGGGCGCTGCCATCTTGGACACAGCAAGATGGCGGTGCGGTGCCCACATGAAACAAATTACTATATGCCCGAATATATTTTTAGTATGTTCCGGCATATATTAATTCGCTATTTCGTTTTGAACCGCCGAATCAATGGAATTTCGTGATTCAACAAGTTCGTGTGAATGCACATCTCTAATTTCCAATATCATTTTCGCTTTGAAGCCAACAAAACAATATAATGGCCAGTTTTTTTATCCAGCATTGTGCTGAATTTCTCCTCTTGAGTCCTGACACATTATTCTGCATTGAGGGTGTTGGAAAGCTCCTGCAGATATGACTCTTACCAGTCAAGATGTTGCTAGACCACATGGCTGAGCCCTTCTTGTTTTACTGTAAATCATTGAGACAGGAAATGACATCATAACCATGTAGTTCCAGTAGAAAGAACAGTACATTATGCAAGCATCACACATAACACCACCACCTAGTGGCAGAGCTAATGTTCACAGCATAATAAGTAAAGCTGTAGTGAGAAATTTCTTATTCACTTAAATCAGGAAAGTCGCAGATAAAAACAGAACTCCTGATCCGCTTCCTTGTTCAGAGACAGAAAGTATGGAAGACATCAAACCAGCATGGCAGCCAGGGAACTAGCATTTGTTTCAGAATGGGAAGTAGGGTCAACACTAGTAACCTCCATATTTCCTCAATACAGGTTTCCTATAAAGAGATCCTAACACCGCACCATCCAACTAAATTGTTCCCATTTGTTAATATGTGTATTTACCAAATTGTAGGCATGGTTTTTAACATGTAAAAGCCTCCATTGGTTAGACATCCCAAAGCCACAAGACTGCTGCTGGGTACCACCATTATGAACATGATATCAGCAGACTCAGAGCTGTAACACTCTATAGTAAGCCTCCTAACCTTTTTTAACACTAAAATAATTTTCCGGGTCTCAGGGAACCCTTACTAAAACCAATTAATTGGGCATCAATAAGAAACATGCCTTATACATTGGAGGTAAGTCAGAAGAATGCAACTCTTACAGCAGGGGCGTAACCACAGATGGTGGGGCCCCATAGCAAAATTTTGATGGAGTCCCCCAGAAGCCTCCCTACTGTCAATGATATTAAAGTCAGCAGGAGAATGCCTGTATATCTGATGTCAGCTCTACTTGATTAATAATGTGTCAGCAGCAACTTCTACAATGCTTATTGGGGCCCCCTTCCACCTTCCTGCCCCATCATAGCAGCCGCATGGGCCGCTATGGCTATTGTTACGCCACTGCCTTACAGTGTCTGCAGAATGCCACCTTTGATTAAAATTGCTTTGTCAAGTGCCATTGGTCCTGGTATTATGTAGGCACCATCAAATGGGATGTCAGTCAGCCACAACTCATGGAACCTCTAGCAACCTATGGAGGAATCCTGGTTGAGAATGGCTTGGTCTATAGCATTCCTCTTTGCTCCTTCCTTGGAAGCTACATAAAAGGTTATGTAGGGAGATGAAGGAGGGAGCTAGGCCAGCACAGAGAGTAGTCACTTCCAAAAGGCAAGACGTGCTGTGATGTGCAAGGAGGGACGGGCTGAGCTAGAGAGTTGACTCTTCCCGGAGCAGTCAATGTTCTTGCAAGTTCAGTAGG